GATTTTTTAAACAGCCACTCGTCACTGTTTATCACACCTTTGATTATGATCGGGACCCTAAAGGTTCTGCCTACTGGCGAAACCGAATTCTCAAAATTGCGAAAGAAGAAAAGGATAAAAATCCAAAAATGAATTTTGCCATTAGCAACAGAGATACTTTCTCTTATGAATTGTCAAATTATGGAATAGAGCCACCATTTGCTGACAAACCGTTTGTGACGATATTATCAGAAAAATATGAGAAATTCGGAATGAATCAAGATTTCAGGTAACTTTTTCTATTTCGATCTGATGTATATTCCTAGTTGGGAGAATCTAAGGAGCTTTTTAAAAGCGTACCATGAAGAATCGCTTATTCCCTATATGAAGTCTGAGCCCATACCAACGGAAAATCCCGAAGCTGTCAAAAAGGTTGTTGCGAAGACTTTCGATGACATCGTCAATGATCCCACTAAGGATGTTTTGATAGAATTTTATGCTGATTGGTGTGGCCATTGCAAAAATCTTAAGCCTATATACGAGGATTTAGCGAACAAAATGCAAAATGAGCCCGGCATTGTAATTGCTGCAATGGAGGCTACAAAGAATGACGTTCCTAAACCTTATGAAGTGCTCGGCTTCCCTACCATATACTTTTCGAAACGCGGCTCCAAGCACACTCCCATTAAATATGAAAAGGGGCGAGAGCTTAAAGACTTCATTTCCTATTTAGCCTCTGAGGCCACTGAAGAATTATCCAACTATGATAGACAGGGAAAGCCAAAGAAATCTGAGCTGTGAATGCCACTTTGCTAGCATCATTTGTTTCTATGATTGGTCTAGTATTGCTTTATTGGTCATTTTTATAACTTAATGTTTATTTATGCAGGGTTTGGGTCAACGCTATTGTGAATATTCAAGTTATAATACACTTCTGGATATTTTTAAATCTAGTCTACGATCTTTACTCTTCTGTTTAAATGTTTTTGGTATATGCTCTACAGTCCACATTTGTGCATGCAAACATTTAGGTTCTTGTGCTAGGGCGACAAGCTCGAGTTTTTAGAGATTTTGTGGGGAAAATTTTGTCGTTTCTAAAGTTCTCAGTCTACCAGCTTCGTTCATATAACTGCATTTAAAGTTGGCTTAGTCCTTGTTTCAAAAATTGCCAATGTCGCTCCATCGTGAGGCAATTAGGTTGCGCAATCCTCTGGCCCGTACTCCCTCGCGAGCTAGTCTACAAAGTAATGCAACGGCTGTTTCTCGTAATGAATGATAAAAAGTCCGGTTTGATTATTCTTATAAATCCTCATGATACAATCTTCCCTAACTTTTCTCAATGATATATTTATGGTAAATATTTTTAATGCAAAATGTGACCAGTGTCACGAGATCCTTTCTACGTCTTCATTCTTATAATTCGAAATGCTAAGTTGATGCTACAACAGGCCAAAGTGTACTTCGGCCAAAACCAAGTCCACAAAATCTTAGTCTTCGTGCTTAATTATGCATTATTTCGGGCAGATCATCTGAGGGTTGTGAGACCAATTCGTTGCCGCTGTACATATCTAAGCCTTGCATCTTGACTCAAAAATTTGGTATTGATATGCTAGGTAAGGAATCCTATGAGAACTTGGTGAACCTAGGTAGCTTAAGATGGCTCAAGGACTAATAATAGTATTTACTAGAATGGTATGAGTAGGCCCCACAATGCCACTGGATTTCGCAACTTATTATAAATTATATTCGGTAGATGCTTTAAAATTTACGTCTGTCCAGTAACACAACACACTCGTGGTTGCCTAACGGAATGGTAAACAGATATAAAAATAAGAGAGGTTCGGCTGAAATAAAATATCCGAATCGATAAAGAAAATAGTTCTCCAGGTCGATAAATTGAGTCAAAAAGTAACTTAAATGGAATTTTCAGTAAAATATACGCATAACTTAATATAATTAAAGATCAACAGATTTTCAAAGCTATGAAAGAAAAGGATATCTCCATAATTTGCTAACTGGAAGCCATACTAAATGAGTACATGAAAAAAGCAAAATAGACACTAAATTTACCTTCAAGAACCCTCAA